TTATTAAGTATGTACCATGTGCCAGGCACTGGGCTAAGCACTGAGGATACAAAAAGAGGCAAAAGACAGTTCCTGCCCTCAAGAAGATCACAATCTAACATCAGAAAATCTGGGATCAAACCTTGCTTCTGCTCATTGCTGTGTGACCTTGAGTCTGTATAAAATGAGAGATTGTGACTGGATGACCCATACGTTCCCTTCAAGTTCTACATCTGTAATCGGCATCTTTCTGCGGACTTTCCTTTTCTCTCCTCCATCTCTCCAAACCTGGTTGCTGAAACCAGAAGGCAACTGGCTCCAGAAGAAGACTGTGGTCATACAAATTTTGGTTAATACCTAACAGTTAGAGGAACAACCTCTCCTCCCCAAAGTAAATTCCCTGAAAGCAGTCAAGCAAAGCCACCTAAAAGAGGGTTTATAAGGGACCAATAGCAGAAATCCATCTCCTCTTTCATGGTCTTCCTATGGTCAAGAGAAAGGACGTGCTTTAACTGAAAGGCATCAGTACTGTCTTGACCTGAGTTTTGACACTCGATGATATTGTGATATTTTCGGTTGTCTTTGTAGTTAGCCTGTATATTGTTTTCCTGTTTTTGATTTCTTTGTCTCCTCTGCATCAGTTCATATAAGTCTTCTAACGATTCTCAGAATTCTTCATATGTCACATTCCTTACAGCTCCAGACCAGCTTTGCTTACTTTTCCAGCCTGGAATCCCCTATGAGAGGCAATTGGGAATAGTGGGGTCTGAGCGTCAGCAGAGACCTGGGTTCAAGCTTTATCTCTGACACATGCTGGCTCTGACCTAGCCTATAAGTTGCAGAGTGGATGCCGATCTCCATCAAGGGAAAAAAGTTTCTTCCCAGGGAGCTCTTTGGAGGGGTAGGATCAAACAGCACTTACTGTGCTCCGTGAATAGAGTGCTGGGTCTGGAGTCAGGAAGACTCATCTTCTTGAATTCAAATCCATCCTCAGACCCTTATTAGCTGTGTGATCCTGGGCAAATGACTTCATCCTGTTTGCCTCAGTTTCCTCATATGTAAAATGATATGGAGAAGGAAATGGCAAACCACTCCAGTATCTCTGCCAAGAAAACCCCAGAACAGGCTCATGAAAAGTTGGACACGACTGAAAGGACTGAACAACAGAGTGCCTGGTACTTCCTTCAAGTCCCAGCTAAAATCCCACATTCTACAGGAAGCCTTTCTCAACCCCTCTTAATCCCAGCGCCGTCTCTCTGTTGATTTTCTCTAGTTATCCTGTGTGTAACTTGTTTGGACATAGTTGTCTGCATATTGTGTCTCCCCTATCAGACTGTGGCCTTGCTTTGTATCCCAAATGCTTAGCACAGTGCCCGGCACATAGTAGGTGCTTAATGTATTAATTGAGTGACTGAGTTCTAGGGATAGCCCTACTCCCGGGGAACTCATATTTAAATGGGAGAGACAATCATAACAAGCTATCTTCAGGAGTTCCTGGCTTTGCCCTCATCGCCCTTCTCCTTCCAAAGTATGCTCCAGTGACAGGTCTGAGAAACAATGCTGTGTTCTGGACCAAAGAGTCAGATGACCTCCTTTGCTCATGGGCTGTGTGACCTTTAAAATCTCTTTGGGTTCCAGACTCCTGGAATGGGGATAACAGGCTAGACACATAACACGTACCCACTGTGTGACCCTGGGCAGATCACTTAACCCCATTGCCTAGCCAAAAAAAAAAATAGCTTTGTAGATCACTCCAAAGCCAATGTTGCTGTTTTCATTTCAGGCTTTCTTGTTCAACTGATAGCTGCTGTCCTCACTTAGGGCTGTTGATACATACTCCCTGTTTCAGGCCCAAAGGAGAGGAGCAGCATATGCTGCAGTAATTAAAGTACTGGGTTCAAATCCTGCTTTTGATCCCTACCAGCTCTTTGGCCATAGACAACTCACTGAATCTCAGTTTCTCCATCTGCAAAATGAAGGGATTAGACTAGATGGCTTATAAGGTCCCTTCCATTTCTAGATTTATGAGGAAGGATTTTCTTCCCGCTTTTCCATTTATAATTTCTTTCTCCTTTTCTCCCTCCTGTGAGGTCCTTTTTAGTTATGCCAGGCACTGTGCTAAGTGCTTTATAGTTATTATCCATTCTTATCCCATTTGATCCTCACAATAACTCTGGGAGGTAAGTGCTATTATTATCATCCCCATTTTACAGGTGAGAAAACTGAGGCAAATGGAAGTTAGGTGACTCTTCCACAGATTCACCCAGCTAGTAAGTATCTGAGGCTGAAACCGAACTCAGACTCCAGGCCTGTTGCTCTGTGTGCTATGGTGCCACCTAGTGGCTCCTAATACACTTGTACAGTTATCCCTTCTATATCTGGACTTTCCCCATGGGTTTTCACATATTGCCGGTGGGCATAAGAAATTAAATGGGAATATTTTGGGAGTTTTGCACAAATCACAGTCAACACATGAAGGCCAGCAGATGACACAGAGCCTGTAATCAAATACTTAATCTAAATTTTACAAGTTACTGTAAAAAATCCCATAAAAGAAAATGAAAAAATTCAGACTTCTCTGCTGTGAAGGGAGGGTCAAAAAATCGTACAAGATTTTCCAGACCATGGGGGCAGTGTGCCCCTAACCCCCTAGATGTGGAAGGGATAACTGTAATTGTATAAATGGTTTTAATTTTACTCGCTTTACTCTCAATTAGTTCATACGGGTCTTCCCAATTTCCTCTGAAACTAATTATTTCTTATGAATTAATTCTAATGAATAAATAGTAATAATAATGATAACAGCTAGCATTTATATTGTGCTTTAAGGGGAGAATACTTAACAAATATTATGTGATTTTGTCTTCACAACAACCTTGGGAGATAGGTGCTATGATTATCCTGATTTTACATGAGGATGTAAATTCCTCATTTTAGATGAGGAAACAGGCACAGAGAAATTAAATGACTTGCCCGGGGTCATACAGCTAGTAAGTGTCGAGGCATGGATTTGAACTTCCTGGCTACAAAGTATCCACCCTGACACCTTCCCCTTAGTTTCCAGTTTGGGGATAGGTATGAAAAGAGTTGCTTTAAATATTTTTGTATATATGGATACTTTTCTTCTTTCTTTGATCTCTTTGGGGGTACAAGCCTAGAAATTACTTTTGGAAATTATATTTCCAAATTACTTTCCAGAATGTCTGGTCCAATTCACAGCTCTGCCAACAACACATTCATGTGTCTGTTTTCCCATAGCCCTCCATTGTCTATCATTTATCATTTTTGGTCACTTTCGCCTGTCAGCAGGGTTCTAAGTAAATCCTTAGAGTTGCTCTAATCAGCATTTCTCTAATTATTAATGAGTTGGAGCACTTTTTCATGTGATTGTTGATAACTTGGATTTCTTCCTTTGAAAACTGCTTGTTGATAGATATCCTTTGACTTCTTATCTATTGGGGGACGTCTCCCGTTACTATAAATGTGAACTGATGCCTTACGTGTCTTGGACATGAGACCTTCAGCAGAAAGACTTACTGCAAAGCTTTCCCCTCAGTTACTTGTTTTCCTTCTAATTTTAACTGCTTTAGATGTGCTTGTACAAACGCTTTTCAACTTCTCAGAATCCAAACTGTCCATTTAATTTTCTGTGAACCTCTCTATCCCGTGTTTGGTCATGAATGATTTTCCTATCCAAAGATCTGAAAAATCATTTGTCTTTGTTCCTCCAATATGCTGATAATGCCATTTAAAAATGTTGAAGTTCATTTGGAGTTTCTCTTGGTATTCAATATGAGATGTTGATCTAATGCCAAGTTCTATCAGACTGCTTCTTTCCAGTTTTCCCAGAAGTTTTTGTCTAATGGTGTCTTTACCCCAGTTGCTGGGGTCTTTGGGTTACTGAAAATTATGCTGCTGTATTTTTTTGTTTTTGTATGGTGTGACTCTGACATGTTTCAATGATCACTCTATTTTTTAATCAACATTGAATTGTGGGATTATGCCTTCTTTGTGGTATAGTTTGAGATCTGGAACTGCTAGGACTCCTTACTTGTGGCTCTTTCCCCACTCTGGTCTTGGCTCTTGGCTCCTAGTGTAGATGGGGGATGGGAGACCTTGGTCCTGGGCCATTCAGCTCTCCAGGCAGAAGAAGCCACGTAAGGGCTGTGATGGAGCCACAGGGGAGGGACCAAGGCTGTGGGAAAGGGGAGCCTGGGATTTGGAGTCTGTGGGAAGCAGAGCTACAGGAGCCCGCCTCCAGGCTTCCCTTAAAATGGGAGGGCAGCCCAGGGAGGTGGGTCAGGAGACCTGGGGTTGAAGACGTCCAGGATGAAGTTTCTTAGGGACCCCAGGACCTTTGAATTTTCCTGACCCCTGCAATGATTGCTGTGTGGAGCGGTCAGTCCTTCAACTCTGAGAATTCTTTCTTCGTTTGTCCTCTTGCCCTCTCTCTTTCTCAACTCTCCCCTATTGCTGCCTTCTTCTTCTGAACTCTCTCCTTTCCCTCCCCTACCTGTCTCTTTTTCTCTGTCTCTGTGACATTCTCTTGTTCTATCTCTGTCTGTCTCTGTCTCTATCTCTGTGTTTCTCTGTGTGTCTGTCTGTGTCTCTGCCTCTCTCTCTCTCTCTGTGTCTCTCTGTCTGTCTGTCTCTGTCTCTGTTTCCCTCTGACTCTGTCTTTCTCTTTCTCTGTATCTCTGTCTTTTTGCTTCTATTTCTCTTTGTCTCTGTCTGTTTCTGCCTCTCTCTGTCTCTGTCTCTGTCTCTTTTATCTCTGTCTCTGTCTCTCTTGCTGCACTGTATCTCTCCGGTCTCTTGCCTCTAATGTCTAATGATCTCTTCTATTTCTCCTTGTTATCTACTCTTAGGATCATAGGCATTGGCCCGGGGACTGGACCTGTGATTTTATGGGTTTAGGGGTCTCTCAGATGAAAAAATTCTCTCTGCCAATGCAGGCTGGCACTTTCTCTGCAGCATGGAGTTTCCTAGAGCAGGGAAAGGGTAAGAGATTTGTCCAGGGTCACATGGCCAGTATGAGTGAAAGGCTAAACTTGGAACCAAGTCTTACTGGCTTAGTTAGAGGCCAGTTCTTCGAAGGTACTTTAGAAATCATCTATTCCAACTCTCTCAGATTTTAAAGGAGGAAATTGTGATCCACAGAGGGAAAGTGACTTGCCCAGGGAAACATAGGTAATGATGGCAAATCTAAGATCTGAACCCAAGTCTTCTGACTTCAGATCTAGTGTTGATTCCATTACCCCATCCCCCATCTCTTCCCCATTCCCTTGTCTTTTTTTCTCTGTTTCCTTCCATGTCCCCCCCCCCCTTCATGTAAAATCATAGAATCTTAGAGCTGGAACAGAACTTGGAAATCCACAACCCCATATTTTACAGAAGAGGAAACTGAGGTCCAGAAAGAGGAGGTGAGAGGGCCAAGGTGGCCCAGACAGTGAGCAGCAGGACTAGGATTGGAAGGACCCTGAAGTGGGCTGGGACAGGGAATTTCTCCCTGGTGTCCATTGAGTGGGGCTCTGTCCCTGCCCTCTGTTTGGTGGTTCCATTCTTGGTTGACATCTGTCTTTCCATTGATCAGATTTTGTAGGTAGGTCTCCATGATGGATGGTTCTCAGAAAAAAGCTCTAGAGGAACAGAGGCCTCTCCACATTGTTACCCCTCTCCTGGAAAGCTGGAAGCTCTCCATGGCTGCAGGCACCACTGTCTTCCTGAAGCTCGAGAATGTCCAGCCCACTGGCTCCTTCAAGATTAGGGGCATAGGACGTCTCTGCCAGGAGGTGAGGGGCTTTGGTCTGGAGGGAGGGTTCTAAGGTGTCTAGGCAGGAAGAGAGAAGTAAAGATTTTGGGTGAGAGGGGAAAGATGTCTGGCCTAAAGGGATCTGCGGAGGGTGTCCTTGTGGGGGTGTAGTTGGGGAGGTGTTCAGAGCTCCAGCTTCCCTGATTGGGTTAGACTTTCATCCCAGTGCCTGGGGATCAGAAAGTTATGTGAGGGTGTGGAATGTCTAGGGATCTAGATCATGGTCACCTCTTCCTGCCCAGGAAAGAGAAGAGAAGTCAGATTCCTCCTAAGTCACCCAGGTTCTCTCCCCTCCCGCTTATCAAATGCCACACTATGTACTGGGAGGACTTTGGTGTAAATCCCAGCCTCCTCATGTACTCCTTGTGTGACTGGACAAGTCATTTCATCTCTCTTGGCCTCAACTTCTTTAACTATAAAATAAGGGAGGTGAGCAAGATGATCTCTAGATTTATGACTCTCAGACTTGAGAGATGTGTTGGTTTGTTTTACCTGATTTTTTTTTCTTTTTCTTTCTTTGTTCCTTTGTTTTTTCTTTGTTTCTTTCTTTTTTGGTACAAGGAATGGTTCCCTGGGTAAGGGAATGGGGAGGGATATGTTAAAAAGGAAGGTGATATAAAAACAAAAGATATAAATATTTTTTAAAAGTGTGTGCATTTGTGTCCTTCATGGGTGTGTATGTTTGTGTGGCTGAAAAGGTCAGTATCTCATACATAAATTCCACATGCTTCCCACATCACTGCACATATTCTTGACAAGTGAGGAGTGCCTGGCTCTCCCTTTCTTCTTTCCACAGGTGGCCAAGAAGGGTTGCAAACACTTTGTGTGTCCCTCAGGTAAGCCCATCCTCCCTATGTCCCTGAGCCTTCTTGAGTATCCTAAGAATGAAGGGGTAGGTAGGAAGTGGGGATTCCTACAATGTCTATAGAAATAAAGTCTGGGGGTGGGAAGGAGTACCTTATAGATTCCCCCTTATTCATTCAGGGGCAAAGGATAATAGAACTTGGGAAGGAGTGGTTTGTGGATATTTGGACAACAGGCTAGGGTTGAGATTGAGGGGAAGAGGTGGTGGAAAGGGATTGGAGGTGAGAGGTTTGGAACAGACACTAGAGGAGATTGATGGAAAGAGATGTTGAGTGACAGGGACAATTTGGAAAGAGAAGGAAAATAAGAGGAAAATCACAAAGTGAACTTGGGTAGGAGAGTGGGGAGAGATATATTTATTATAAATGATTCATAGCAATCCATATTATTGTTTATAGTTTGTGATTATTTTGGCAATTATTCATATATTTTGACCACTAACACTGGAGAATGGCTCTTGGTTTTGTTTCGTGTTAGTTCCCTTTATATCTTGGTAGTTAGATCCTTATCAGAGATATTTGTTGCAAAGATTTTCCCAATTAATAGCTTCTCTTCTTATTCTTCTTATTTTGTTCATGGATTTGAAAACTTTTCAATTTCATGTATATGAAAAGTTCTATTTTAGCTTTTGTCATCACTCCTCTTCCTTATTTGGTTAACAATTCTTGGAGAAAGTTTTGAGGGAAGAGTTGAGAAGAAATCTGGAGAGACTGAGTGAAGAGTAGAATTCTACTCATGTCAGAGTGGGAAAGAATCTCAGAGGTCATCTCATCCAATGCATCTCTAGCTGAGCATCCATTCTACAACATGCTTATCAAGTAGTGTCCATATCTATCCTGAAGACCTCTAGCTATGGGCATATCACCACCTCCCAAGACGACCCATCGCACTTTTGAGCAACTTTTGTTCTTAGGAAGTTTTTCCTTATGTTGAATGGAAATGTATCTTGCTATAACTTTCTCTCCCCTCTTCTACCTAATTCTGGGGCTGAGTAGAATGAGTCTAATCCATTAGAATATGAGGACTGTTTTTTTGGTTTTGTTTTTGCCTTTTTTTTTTTGTATCTCCAAGGCTTAGAACAGTGCCTAGTATATAGTAGTTACTTAAATACTAGCTGATTGTTGATTGATTCTTCCACTTCACAGACCTTCAGATATTTGAAAAAAGTTATCATCATGCCCGCACTCCACAAATCTATTCTTCCTCAGGCTTAACATTCTCAATTTCTTCAATTCATTCTCATATGGTCTGATTTCATCCAGTCTGTCAATAGTCTTACCCAACAGTGCCCCAAATTGAACAGAAATCCTGCTGATATGGTCTGACCTTGGCAGAGTACAGTGGGAACATCATGTCTCTCTTGCTTTGAATACTTTGACTCTCTTAATGTAGTTTAAGAAAGATTCAGGGGGGCATTTAGAAAAAAGGCTTGATTTCCCCTTAAAATACCTTGACTCCCATGACCTACTCCTCTACCCCATCTCAGCCATACACAAAGGTGGTCATACCCTCAATCTCGCCATAACCCACAAATGTACCCCGTCCCTGTTCGTGAATTCTGAAATTCCCTTTTCTGATCATAATCTATTGGCTCTCTGCCTCTTCCTCTTGCCTCTTCCTTTGACCATATTGGGATTTTCAGTCCCTTGAGGTTTCATTCCTAGGCTAATATTCCTACATTAGCCATACACCTCTCCATTCCCTAACTTGACCCCTTCAGTGAACTAATTCAATTCAACAATAAACTCTCTTCTTGAGTCATTTGCTACCTTATCATATCACTGATTATGCCCTGTCAAGCCTCAGCTTTGGATTAGTCTTGACACATACTGTCTTTACACCCACACATGTGGTGTTGAACGAAGGTGGAAAAAAAAAATCATGCAACTGTACTGTGTTTCCTATCAGTTTATATAAAATTTTCTTTAAATTTAAATATTAAATGAACTTGATCCTCACTGCTACTAGGCAATCCTTTTGTGCCTCTCTAATTAACTCACTATCCCATTCACCATAGTAGCTCTACTCCAATAGATCATAGCTTCCCCTCCCCCTACCTTGCCTGAGAATCTTGTGTCATATTTTACTGAAGAAGAAATGAGGCCATTACAACTCAAATCTTATCTTCTGTGAGAAACCTTTCACTATCTGTTTATTCTCCTGCCTCCTTTTGTTGATTATCTTCAATTAATCATATATATATATGTATATATATGTACATATATATTATATATATGTATCTTTTTTTGTACAAAATTGTTTGCATGTTACATCTCTCCCATTAGACTGTAAGCTTTTTGAGGGAAGGGATTGTCTTTTGCCTTTCTTTGTATCTCCAGTGCTTAGTATAGTGCCTGGCACATCGTAGGTGCTTAATAAATGTTTAGGAAGAAGCTGGAAGAGAATTGGGAGGAAGAAAAGGTCGTATTGGAGGAATTGGGTTTAAACTCTGGTTCTTCTACTTACTGCTTGTGTGACCTTGGGCAAGTCACAGCTTCTCTGGGTTTCAGATTCCTCATTTGTAAAATGAAAGAATTGGACTGAATTATTGCAATACTGTGATACTTTGATCCCAGAGTGTTAGGTTGATATGAAGGACAGAACACTGAATACCTGTGGGCCCCATAGCTCCCTTTTTGAGGACATCTTAACTTCTATGCTCACACCTTTTTTAAAAGAATCCTTTACCAAGATGGCAGCTTCCTTCTTGACCTTCATCTTCTCCCATATTCTCCTTTACTAAGTACATGTAAATGTCAGATTAACTATGTATGACCCCTTAACCCTTTTCTTGTCTCCACAGGGGGAAATGCAGGTGTGGCTGCTGCTTATGCTGCCAGAAATCTGGGCATCCCGACCACCGTTGTGCTGCCCAAGGGAGCCAACTCAACTCTGCTTCAGAGGCTGGAGAGGGAAGGGGCTGAGGTGCTGATGGTGGGGAAGGTAATGGAAGGCTTCCTGCAGAGCACAGCCCACCGGGAGGTTGGCAGGGCCTGGGGGTAGCTGGGATCTCTCTTTCTACCTGTTATCTCCTCAACCTTTTCAGTCTTAGAAGTATAATAAGTATAATGCTATTTAATTGGCCCTGTGTCTCTATTGGTGTGAACAACTTCTGGTGAGAGAACTCCCTCTACCAAAGCAAGTGTACCTGCCTTGTAACTGCTAGTCTTAGGGAGTTACCTGGGGATCCTGAGACAGTGTAAGACTTGTCCAGGGTCACACAGTCAGTATACATCAGAGATGGGAATTAAAGCCAGGTCCATCTGACTCGAAGTCCCACTTTCTATCCATGCCTCTCTTAGAATAACATTTATAAATATAACCATAACAAATATCATTATAATTAGTACTGTAATGATGGCCAACATTTCTATATTTGAAGGAATACGAAGTCCTTTCCTTCTCTTTTTTCTACCATTTGAGCCCCATAACAACTAGAGACCAGGTAAATATTACAGGTATTGCTGTCCTCTTTTCATTCTGTAGAGGTGATGGCCTTCTCAAGGGGCCTCAGGAGAAGCCATGCCCCATCCATGGTTAATTTTCTCCTAGCTTTGCCCAGTCTCTGGTCCTCAGGCTACAAGTGACCCTAGAGTCATTTTGTCCATCGCTCTGCCTCTAGGTGAGAGGGCACTTCAACCAGTCCAACTTAAATGCATCTTTGTGTACCATGTGCTGCCACTGACCTCTTCTTACCCTTCTTTTTTTGGACCAGGACCTCTTGCCAGGGTCAGATCACAGCAAAAATTCATATTTACTTCTGAACAACTCAGGGGTAAAAGAGTGACTGTTGAACTTAGCTGGTGCAGGGGTTAGTGCCCTGGATTTGGAATCAGGAAGACAATCTTGAATCCTGCCTCAGACACTTAATAGTTGTGTGACCTTAGTTCACTTTTCTGGTTCTTCATCTATGAAATGAAAGGGTTCCTCTAAATGGCCTCTACATCTAACTCTATGATCCTCAAATCACTGAACCTCTCAAAGCCCCAGTTAACTCACTGAGGTTATAAATTGCAGACCAGTAGCCAATCTTCAATGGTGGATGGAGTTTTCATATGGGAGTCCCTTCACCAAGGAAATTGTAGATCTGGTTCTCCCCTCAAATATTATAACTTACAAGGGGAAAAAAATAACAGTATCTTTGTCATTGGTTGTAAATTAACATCATTTAAAACCAGCAGGGTTTTTTTGATCAAAGAGCCCCCCCAGTGCTTGAAGGGGTGATCAAGATAGGAGTTCTCTGAGCTAGTGCACTGGGGGCCCCACAGTTTACACTCTCCTTGATCTTTAATGCTTTAAAATTAGAATTCTCTTACCCCAATACGTTTTCCTTTTGTTAATCACCTCCAGTTTCTTTATCTTGTTTGTAGATAGCTGTTGGGATTAAATGGAGCTCCTAGAAGGCAGGGACCATTTTTTGCCTTCCTTTGTATCTCTCATGTTTAATAAATTCAAGGCATTTAGTAAATTCTTATTGACTTGACTATAAGCTCCCTGAGGGCAAAAACCAGCTCTAGGATGCCATATTCAAGGCTTCACAAGCATTATCTTGCCTAAGCCTCACAACCACCATTTAAGAAAAGTCAGACGGGTATTAGGAGAAAGCTAGACGGTTCTGTGCTTTCCTTAGCGTTTGGGTGCTGTTGACTGAGTAGATAAGCCCTAGGGAGTCACATAGGTCCTAGAGACTGACCTATGGCTGTGCAGCTAGTGTTAGAGGCAGGATCTGAGCCAACATCTTCTTGAATCCAAGTGTGGCTCTCTATTCATCGTTTCATGCTGCCTTTATCCTGTGGAATAATTAACTTCTATAGATAATTAATCTATTGAATTAATTAATTCTATTGAATAAAGTTAACATGTAAAGAATATTGTTATCCCCATTTTACAAATAAGGAAACTGAGGCTAAGAAAGCTTAACTGTCTGAGAAAGAAAGCTTAAGCTCATGGTCGCATGACTGGTAATCATCAGAGGGAGTTTTAGAACACTCCTCTCCTGACTCCATATCCAGTTCTGTCCCCACTATACCACAATGCCTTCTCTGTTGTCTACAGAGCCTTGAACAGTGCTGGGTGCCAAGCACATCCTGAGTAAATATTTCTTGAGCAAATAAGCAAAGCATTTGCCAGTTTTTAGTAAGGATTGTTCCAGCCCATTTTCACAAAAAAGTTGAGGACATTTTCCTCTTGTTCTTTTTGTGTGTTGTTTAATCATTTCAGTCATGTTTGATTTTTCATGACTCCATTTGAGGTTTTCTTGGCAAAGATACTAGAGTGGTTTGCCATTTCCTTCTCCAGTTCATTTTAGAGATGAGTAAACTGAGGCAAATAGGGTTAGATTTCTTGCCCAGGGTCACACACACAGCAGTAAGTGTCTGAGGACAGATTTGAACTCAGATCTTCCTAACTCCAGACCCAGTCCTCTATTTTTATATCACTCTCATTTCCCAGCATCTCCACTCACTGCCTCCCAGAGGGCCACCTTTTTTTTTTTTTAATGAGAATAAAAAAGAGAAAAATAAACTCCAGTTCAGGAAAACTAACAAATACACCAAATCCAACAGCTATAGGTAGTGGTCTACACCCATAGTTCTCTTCCTCCACAAAGAAGGGCAGGAATCATACTTTCTTATATCTTCCTTAAGGCTAAGATTTGTCATAACTTCATCTAGTTTTGTTGTGGTTGGTTTTTCCCTATTGTCGTTCTTTCCAAATGGATCATCTGTTGTTATTGTGTACCTTGTCTGCCTGGATTTTCTCACTTCCCTCTGCATCAGTTCATAGAAGTTTTCTCATACTTCATGTTCATTGTAGTACAGTAATACTCCATTACATTCATATACTGCAGGATGGTTTAGAAGTGGGGAAAAAAAGGGCTGCTAAACATATTTCCACTTGTTTGGGATCTAAGTCAATTCAGTCCAAATTAGGGGAGAAGAAGTGAGAAGAGGTATATTTGGGACACAGCCTGAATACCAATGTCCACTGACCATAGGAATCCCCAAGTGGCTTTAACCATTGGCTTACAGCCTGGCCCCAGTGTTTCCATTAAGATCTTTAGAATCTGAATCCCCGACCCAGACATTACCTTTCTCCCTCTGTCTCCTATATCCCATTAGCCCCGATGATATGATTAGGTTATAGGACCCCAGTCCCTGATTACTCCATATATATTTTTCCCCTCTCTCTGTCTTAGATTCTTAGTAAGTGCCTTCTAATTCATTTACTAATTCTGTCCATTTTCCTGTAGGTGTGGGATGAGGCCAATCTGAAGGCCCAGGAGATGGCCAAAACAGATGGTTGGGTCAATATTCCCTCCTTTGACCACCCAATGATCTGGTGACTATGAGTCCCTTCCCCTTTCCCAGCTCTTGTCCCTTGAGCCTCCAACATTTAGGTCCCTGGATTTATGGTCAGCTCCCATTAGAAACTGATTCACTACTATTCAGATTACATTATGGGGATCCAGACATTTTTCTCCCTTCTTTTTCTCTGTACAATTTGGTTGTGGGCTGCCGACATTAGAATTGTCCCGGGAAGGGGGAACTGGGCTTGGGCATAGAATCAATAACTTGGCCTTCTGAGCACCAGGTTGTGCTTCTATGACAGGCTGGGACAATGGGAAGGGCTCTGGGCTGGGATCTGGGAAATTTGGGTTTTAGTCCTGACTGTGACACAAACTTGTGTGTGACCATGAATATGGCCTTTGAGCCTGGGTCCCAATTCTCCTTTTGTTAAATGAGGAAGGATTGCTAAGGTCCTTCTCAGCTCTGATGTTCCATATTCTAAGGTTCTTCCCAGCCCTGACATTCTAGAGCTCTTTATCATCATCATCATCACTAACATTTTATGGCACTTTAAAATTTGCAAAGTGCTTTACAAACATTTGATCCTAACACCTGGGGATAGGTGCTATTCTTATCCCCATTAGGCTGTAAGCTCCTTGAGGGCAGGGACTATCTTTCCATTTTTAATATGTGCATCATGCCTTATGCAGTGCCTGGTAGCAACATAGTAGGTGCTTAATCACATGTGCCCAATCAAGCATGTAGTAGATGCTTCATGAATTTTTATTGACTAACTGATTTACAGATGTGGAAACTGAGGCAGACAGCGGGATTTGCCTACAGTCACATAGGTAGTAAATAACAGAAGTAGGATTTGAACTCAGGTTTTCCTGATTTCATCAGACATGCCCTTGGTGGAGTGGTGATGATGGTAGTGGTGGTGGCGATGGTAGTGATGGGGGCCTTTCTCCTCTTGTTCTTGTCTCCAGGGAAGGCAATGGCAGCATAGTTCATGAACTGAAGGATACTCTGGGTACCCGGCCTGGTGTCATCATCCTCTCCGTAGGGGGCGGGGGCCTCCTGGCTGGTGTGGTGGCAGGAATGAAGCAGGTGGGCTGGCAGGATGTGCCCATCATCGCCATGGAGACCCGGGGGGCTGACAGCTTTAACCAAGCCGTCCAGGCTGGGAGACTTGTCACCTTGCCTGACATTACCAGGTGGGCATTGCCTGACTTTCAAGGCATTGTGTTGGTCCCAGAAGATTATTTTCCTTCTCTGGGCCTCAGTTTCCTTATCTGTAAAATGAGAGGATTGGACTCGATGGCCTCTGGGACCCCTTCCAGTTCCAGATCCTTAAGCATAATTACATATGTACATAGGTAAAAGAACAGTAAAGGAGTTAGCTTAGACAATGTCTTAGGTCTCTTCAAAGGATAGGTAGTGGTATCTCAGAGACCACCCAGTCCAACCATCTCATTTTATAGTGGAGGCCTACGTGACTTGCCAAAGGTCACACAGCTAATAAGAGGCAGAGCTGGGCTTTGAACGCCCCCTGCCCCAGGTCTTTGGTTCCCCTTCCACTGTGGCACACTTTCTATGATATGTGAGCTGTGTCTTTCTCACATGCGAGGAGCTGATTTCTCCAGGGTCTCCCATTAGAATTCACTGTTTTTTTCTCCCCCCAGCATGGCAAAAAGTCTGGGTGCCAAGACAGTGGCTGCCCGGGCTCTAGAGTGTACCCGTGAGTGCCAGATCATCTCAGAAGTGGTAGACGATGAAGAAGCTGTCGAGGCCATTGAACGCTTCCTTGGTGAGTGCTATAGGAAGGTTAGCCTTGCAGACTGAATGGCCACCCAGATCTATGACTTGAGGGTCACTGAAAACAGCCCTCTGATTTCAAACTATTTCCCTGAAATTTCACCCTAGAGCTGACATTCCACTATTAACCCTTGACCACTTGGCTTTGGTCATGCTTTATCCATACTTGTCTTTCATACCTCAGGGAGGATGAGTTCCCCAATCTTTCCGGGAATTAATAAAAATAGTGTTTTAGAAACAATATCTCATTTGATCCTGGTAACCTCTCTACCCTGGGAAGCGGTCACTATTATCAACCTTACTTTTCAGGTGAGGAAACTGAGTCCAACAGAGTGACAGTGACTTGCCCAGGGTCTCATAGCATGAATATTTATGGTAGGATTTGAACTTAGGTCTCCCTGACTCCGGGTTTGGTGCTGTATCCACTGTACCACCTAGCTACCAGTATGGGCCATGGCATAAGGAACTATTGAGGACCTGAGAGAACCCAGTGGTACGTTGTGCTGAGTCCTGACTGGCTCTTGGTATCTCTCTGTCTCCCTGTTTCACTGTCCTGTCTTCCTGCACCCCTGGCCTTGTTCTTCCTGCTGGCCACAGATGATGAGAGGATGCTGGTGGAACCAGCCTGTGGGGCTGCACTAGCTGCCATCTATTCAGGCTGCCTGGGTCGTCTCCAGGCTGAGGGCCGCCTCAGCCCCTCACTGGGCTTCATTGTGGTCATCGTGTGTGGTGGGAACAGCATTCATCGGGCTGAGCTGAAGGAACTCCAAGCCCGGCTGGGGAGGAGCTGAGTGGCCCCGCCCTGGGAGGCTCTACTTGGGTAGGTAAGTCAGGCCATGGGGTATCAGGGGAGGGGGAGGTAGCCTGGAGAGGCCTGAGAAATGGTGTTCTCCTTTCAGGATTAAACTCTCCATCAGACTCCTTGGTGCTGAAATGATGCTGTCAGCAAGTGCCCCTGGAGAAAGTGACATTTGTAGCCCTGCCCTCCTCCTGGAAGCCTTCCATGATTGCTCTAATCCCCAATATTTCTCTCTTCTCTGTTTTCTGTTTTTCTTTTTTGGTTTGTTTTTGTTTTTGTTTGTTTGTTTGTTTGTTTGTTTTTTAGCTAGGCAATGGGGTTAAGTGACTTGCCCAGGGTCACACAGCTAGTAAGTGTTACATGTCTGAGACCGGATTTGAACTCAGGTCCTCCTGAGTCCAGGGCCGGTACTCTATCCACTGCACCACCTAGATGCCCCTCTTTGTTTCCTTCTTGGTCTCCCCAACTAGACTGCAAGCAGGCACGTGCCTTGTATTTTTGTATCAACCTGGTCATAGCAGATATTCAATAAAAATTTCATTATTTGAATTGAATTCATAGATTCTTTGAACCTCAGGACTGGAAAGGACCTTAGAGATCATCAGGCCCAACTACCCTATTTTACAGAGGAGGAAACTGAGTCCCTCCTTTACTGAAACCCTTCAGTGGCTCCCTATTGTATATCCAATAAAGTGTTGTTCTTTAGTCATTTTTAGTCTTATCACTTTGTGGTCTCGTTTGGGGTTTTCTTGGTAAGCAGAGTGAAGTGTCTTACCCAGGATCACACAGCTAATATCTGAGGCCAGATATGAACTCAGAGAGATGAGTCTTCCTAACTCTAGGGTCAGCACTCTGTCCACTGCACCAGCTAGCTGCCCTCAACCAATAAAATATATCCTCTCAAGTCTGGCATTCGGGGCCTCTATAGTTTAGCTACAACCTACCTGTACAGTTTTATCTCAATAACAGCCATTTCTTTTTCTCTTCCCCCCCCATTTCTTATATTCTCCTCCTGGCCAAACTAGGCTAGCCTCTGTCCTCCATTTTTGTCTCCATTTCTCAGATCCCTGGGCCTTTGTTCTTATCAGCCCCCACTCCTGGAACGGACTTCCTCACCTTTGTCTGTGGAAGTTCCTACTTTTCTTCATGGTTCAGTTCATATAATACCTCCCTTCATGAATATGGGGTCACCATGAATGTGATATACCTCTTCTCACATTTCTCCTAGTCCTTTCCCCTTATCTTATTCTTCCTGGTACCAGAGCATCTTTGGATTTAGCTGTTAAAACCCTTTGAGAGTACCTGGTCCAAAGATCCCATTTTGTTGATGGGAAAGTAGAAGGGAAGTGACCTGTACATGGGAACCCCTGACTCCAAATCCTGAACTCTTTATACCACATTGAGATCATACCTTATGGGGACTGCTGGAAAAAATAGAGGGGATTTATTTTGGAGAAAAGAAGACTCAGGAGTGAAGTGATAACTGTCCTTAAGTTTCAAAAGAATCAGGAGGGAGTAGACAGGTTCTCTGGTTCTAAAAGACAGGACCAGTAGTACCGGGTGCCTAGCACGTAGCAGGTGCTTGGTAAATCCCTGCTTGCTTGATAGATTAAAGTGCAAAGAGGCCAATTTTGGTTCGATTTCAGGGGAGAAAAGTTTCCTGCCAAATGAGAGCTGGAATGTGGAATGGACTGCCTTTAGGGACAGTGGGTAATCCCTCCTTGGAGGTCTTCAGGCAGAGGTTTGGGTCATCACTTGCCATAGTAGGTAGTTAATAAATAATCGTGGATGAGTTGGCTGATTATTGGGTATTTTATGGAGGGGAGTCCTTTTCTGTTTTTGGTTGGACTCCATGGCCATGGAACTCCCTAGATGGAGTGGGTTCCTCCTTCTTGGAGGTCTTCAGACAGAGGTTGGGTTTGCCATGGTAAGTGATTTATAGATATTTGTGAATTAATTGTTTGATCATTGGGTATTTTATAGAGGCGGGTTCTTTTCTGCTATTATTGGCAGGACTAGATGGCCATGGAGCTCCCTTCCAAGGCACCTTCTGTGATTCTCTGACTTTTCTGTCTTGTTTTACATGATTGTCCTCTCTATGTCCCCTACTCAGGCTCGGTTCATCTCTCTTGATTCTCTTATCCAGAGCACTGACAGCTGAGAGATCAGAAAAGGACTGTAAGCTTCTTGAGGCAGTGGCTGCTTGTGTCTATCCTGCACCAAAAGTGAGGCTCCATACACAGTAGTTGCCTAACTAATGCTTGCTGTGTTGAGTAATCCCACTTGGCCAAGATCTCCTACGTTGCTAACGGTGGAGCAAGAACCCCTGACTCCTGGGACTTCTTGTACACCAGGCTGTCAGAAGTGGTCTGTGGTCATGACCTTTGTATAAAGGGGCCTGCTCTTGAGGGTCCCAGCCTGGCTGAGAGATCATCAGTGTTCCCCAGAGCTGGCTTTTTTGGCTACTCAGGAATAGACAAGCCTGGGGTCTTTTTGAAAGCTTTATGAAAAATAGCATCTCAGAGCCACATGGGGGCAGCAAAGTGTCTTTCATGCAGAAGACCCCCAGGGGATGGATGGAGAGGAATATTTTGTTTTCTGCATTGAAATATATTCTTTCTCTGGGGTATGCATCTTTTCTGCCCCCCCCCCCCACTTTAGTTCTCAGCCCCAACCCTAAGAGAGTGGGGAGAAGTGAGCTGAGTCAGAGCTTTGGAGAAGGGCTATTCTGAAGAGCAATCTCAGAATCACAAAAACCATGAGTTGGAAGACACCGTAAACACCAACTCCCATATACCCACAGCATCACACAGTTAGATTTGGAAGGGACTTTAGGGGACATTGAGTTCAACCCCCTCTTTTTACAGATGAAGAAACAGGTTCAGAGAGGTGAAGGGACTTGCCCAAAGCCACCCAGGAAATGAGTGGTAAAGCTGGGATGAGGTTTGGGTATGGTACAAGTGCCAGTGGGCTCCAGAGGGGTCTCTTCATCTCTTAGTGTCTCATTTCCCCCTCCTCCCCTAATCAGGGCAATCTTTTGTCAGGTTGGAAAGGTGACAGTTAGGAGGGAAACTGTTGGCTGAGACTGTGGGAGAATCTACAGCTGGTGTTTTTCTCTGTTCCCAGGGAAGCAGGAGATAAGAGGCTGGGTCTTCACTGGGGTTAACCACAAAAGAATTGTTTGCCATGGAACAGCCACAAATCCTGTTTCTTAATTGACTACAGTTAAGCCTTTTCTTGTATATAACAGAGAAGAGTTGGGCCAGCTGAGACATCAGAGAGAGGGAGTAGAAGAAAGAAAGACAGCAAAGGGGAAAAAGGAGGAGAAAGAGGAGAGAGGGTCAGGACTCTAGGGTGGAAGAAAAGAGAGAAACATATTCAGGAGAAGGAATTAATTCAATTTAGTTTTACAAATCTCTACTGTACCTGACCGTATGCCTAAGGCACAAGGATGTCAGAATCTCTGAAACTCAGAGTTAGAAGGGATTTCAGAGGCCATCTAGTTTTACCCAGGCCTGATTGAGCCCCTTTATGACCATCCTGACAAGTAGTTATTTGTCCAATCAATCAATACACATTTGTTAAGCACCTACTACATATCCTAGTGTTAACTTTCTCTAATGAAGGATGTAGTACCTATAGGTGTAGAAATATGCAAATGATGATGATCATGGTGGGGTAATGATAACTAGCATTTGTATAGTGCTTTATAAATTTTTCAGTCATTGTGTCTGAGTCTCTCTAATGAGCCACCCCCAGAGGCTGCTCCTTTCACTTCCGATCATGAGGAAGATTTTCTTGACATTGAGCAGAAATCTTCTCTGCACCCCCACCCCTCCCATTTCTTCTAGTTCTGCTCTCTGGGACCAAGGAGAGTAAGAAGACTCCCTTATTGTAGAAGTCATCCAGTTTATCATTCATCCTTCTCAAACTGTGGCACCTAGGACTGACCACAATGCCCTAGATGTGGTCTGACCAGGGCAGAATGCAGTGGGATATCTCTTCTGTCCGTTCTGAATGTAAGCTGAAAGTTCCATCATACATGATGGAACTCTTACACTGAACTCACAGCATTAAAAAAACTCAAGATCTTTTTAATTTTTTTAACTATTCCTTAGCCACATTAGATCCACTGCATCCTTGTGAAACTGACTTTTTTTGAACCTGAGGGTTTTATTGTGATTCAATTGTGTCTGATTCTTTTTAGGGTTCTTGGCAAATATATTGGAGTGGTTGGCCATTTCCTTCTCCAGATCGTTTTACAGATGAGGAAACTGAGGCAAGTAGACTTACTTAGGGTCACTGAGCTTGAGTGTCTTGAGGCCGGATTTGAACTCATGAAGATGAGTCTTTCTGATTCAAAGCCCGGCACTCTACCCATGGCATCACCTCATTGCCTAGCGACAACAATAACTAAGGTGGTGCTGTGGATAGAATGTTGTCTGGCCTAGAGTTAGAAACATTTGGGTTCCTATCTGACCGCAGCCACTTCTTAACTGAGTAATTCTGGGCAGGTCATTGAACCTCTGTCTGCCTCAGTTTTGACAACTGAGAAGTGGGCATTATAATAGCACCTACCTCCCAGAATTGTTGTGAGGATCAAAATGACATAGTATGTGTAAGGCGCTTAGTCAGCACCTGAAAACAGTAGCTGACTAATAAACGTTGGTTCCCTTCCCTTCCCCTTATTCTTATTCAATTCCATCTGTTAGATTTTACTCAATATTCTAAGATGCCAAGATCTTTTTGGCCTTTTATTCTTTGCCCCAGTGTGTTAACTGCTTCCTAGTCTCATTTCATGTACAAATTTGATAATCAACCAATCAACAAACATTTATTGCTGCTGTTCACTCATTATGTCTAACTCTTTGTGACTTCATTTTGGGGTTTTCTTGACAAAAATGCTGGAGTGGTTTGCTATTTCCTTCTCTAGCTCAATTTACAGATAAGGAACAGAGGCAAACAGGGTTAAGTGACTCACCCAGGGTCACACAGTTACTAAGTGTCTGAGGCCATATTTGAACTCAGGAAGATGAGTTCCAAGACCAGTGTTCTATCTACTTTGACACCTGGCTGCTCCTACTATTTGCCAGGTAGTGTGCTGGGGGCTGGGGAGACAAAACTGACCTTAAAGAACTTACGATCTATTGTATCCTATAGGTATAGAAATGTGCAAATGATGATGATGATGGTGGTGGTGGTGATAACTAGCGTTTATATAGTGCTTTAAGGTTTACAAAGTGTTTTATAAATATTTGATTTTATCATTAGAACAGCCCTGGGAAGTAAATACTGTTATTA